GCTCTCATCATCAATGGTCCCTAGAGAAATTATTCGAACAAAGAGTAATATAAGAATCTACCAAAGAGAAGTTATAAGGGGAAAAAACAGAGTAAAGAAGTAGAGAATGAATCAATCACCATGAGTTTTTTGTGATTGAGCTTATTGAACTCAAAAGTTCTTGTGGTTTTGGTTAGCTTCAAGAATCAGAAGTGAACAAATAAGAAATTTGATTGGGAAGACTTAGAAGAGAAGAGGCGGCTACTATAGCTGAAAAGGAGAAATTGAGGGTTTTCTTGTTTTATTTGAAACGAGTCGGTCACGATAACTTCAGAGGTTTATGAAAATCATGTGTATAAATAGAAGATGATATATAAAACGTAACACAAAAATAAGATTGATAACCCATAATTCAAAGTAGAGAATCCAAAAAACATAGAAGAGAAATGGCAAATCAAACAGAGAATCAAAAACATAGAAAAAAAACAGAGAACAAAGATGAAAAAAAATCCGAGAGATAGTTAAAACAGAGAACCATTATATTTCCATATCACATGTTGCTCTGTTGTATCCTCCCCGACCACACCGGCTGCACTTGTGCTTCGTAAACTTTTGTGATCCTTGGGATGATCGTATCTTGTCTTCGACTGTTTCGTACCTTCTTTTTTTCCTTCTACCAGGACCTCTTCGTGTGTCAGGTGGTAGGACTTTTGCGTCCTTAACATCTTGAAGAACATTCCATTCATCTTCAGGAACATCTATTGGATTAATGGATTCTTCATACAACGTTCTCCATGCAATAGTCGTCCACACATCATCGGCATATAGGTGTAGATCCTTGCAAATAGCAAAAGCTGCTTTTATAGCATGTCGACATGGAATTTTTAGTAACTCAAACTTCCACATAAGCATGTTTTGGCTTCCAAGTTAACGACATAGTCAAATTCATCACCTTTCACCTCGAACGTGTTTTCACTAACTTTATAAGCTACGTAAGTTTTGGCTTTTTCTATCCTTTTATCAAGTTTTTTTCTCCACTTCACTGTTAGAGGATCGATCTGCTTTGCACTTAATGCTCTATGCTCACAAAACCACTGTGTCAACATTTCTCTGATGCTATCTAGCAGAGGAATAATTGGATATTCTCTAGGCGATCTC